AAAAAAGTTTACAGGTTAATTTTTGTGAGAAATGATACTGATAGGAAAAAAGCATTACACAAATATTGCTTATCTCATGTAAACTACTAACCCTTTATCAAAAAGTGTAATTTTTCAAACAAAAACAAAAGCCGGAGGTCAAAACAAGCCATTTTATTTTCTATGTTTTTATATGCAGGCTTTAAAAAAATTATTATTATATTTTAGTGATATTGCAAATACAAGACATAAGCTATTTAAAAATGAATTATTTGGTAGAGGCTAGATTTTTATAGTTTATATATTTTTAAAAACTTTATTTTTATTGTTCACAGGCTGTATTCTTCTTGGTTTAAATTCGTAAGAGTGGTCAGCTCATTACGTTCACCTTTTTTAGTGCCATTATTTAATTCAGAGTGTTTTCTTTATTTTTCTACACTTATTTGGTTGGTAGAGTATACATTATAAGGGAAAAAGCATTTCTTTGTCACAAAGTCTCATAAATAAGCCCAATGAAAGGTCATAAACATGAAAGAAAGTCTTAGATGAAAAAATACGAATAAAGTTCTTTACCCATCTGGTTGTCAGAGAAGGAGCCCTGGTATTGTCATTGTTAAATACTTGGTTACTGACTCCAAGGTTGGTGGTTCCAATCCACCAGCTACTCTCTTGGGAAGAAGATGAGGCAATCTACTTCTGTAAAGATTTATAGATAACCTTGGAAATCCCATGGGGAAATTCTCCTGCGATTTGGTTTTCTATGACTCAGAAAAGACGCGATGGGTTTGGATTTTGGTTTGGTATCCAGGGGTAAAAGTACAGTCTGCGACTAGTAAATGATTAACACTTTTCTACCAAAGATTTCCTCCTTTCTCAGGATCTCCGTGATAAATAGGTGATTTAAGATGGGGAGACTACCAAACACGATAAATACATGTTATAATCATCTACTGGAAAAGTAACTGAGGAAGATGACTCACAACATCTGTGAGTGGAGGACAAGCAAAGCGCTAGAGCAGGTGGAAATAGATGTATATATTTATTTTTAAAGGTAATTCAAGGAGATTGAAAGACAATTACACTACCCACAGGGACTCAAGTCTGACTCGTAAACAGAGTAGAACTGTTCCCTAGGGTTTATGAGACAGGAACATACAGCCTCAGCTCGTGCATGTTCCTGCTGGTGGGTTTGAACTGCCAGCCTTGCAATCAC